TGGGCCCACGAGAGCTCAATTTGGGCCCATCTATGTATATTACTCCTTAATTGGACTTATCTATAGGCCCAAATAACATATTTGGACTCTTGTCAACTTTAGCATGAGAAATGTACGGGCTAGCCACTTCTTGAATTAATATTTGAAGAAATATTCTGTATTTTAAAAGTAATATAATATTATGATACTATCAAGAATTTTGAAATTCGAAATTTGAAAATGTGAAATTCGATGATAGTGTCACTAATATTATTTGATGTAGGAAATTCATGTATTTCAAAAAATAATGCTTTTTAAAAAATAATTTTTAAGCCGATGATATCTTACCTGATTCGGAAAATAGCTATTTTAATTGTCCCTTTCGACCAATTGATGAATTAGTGTGGTTAGTTGATATATTACTTCCACTGCCAGATAATAAACAAACTCAAAATATTGTTTGAACTTAGATTGTTAACTTTAATATCGATTTCATTATTTACGTCTCTATATCTTCTATTCTTTGGAATAGTAGTTGATTAGGTAACAAAGACTAATTAATTGATTAATTAATTATGTATTGCTTATTAATCCTTTTAATTCTCAAGTGGTGAAGCTCTTAAAAGTAATGGAATGCACGATTTAGGGATCTAATTTAATCTATTACCAGAAAATCACATGTTTAATTTTATAATTTTTTTTCGAGTATATATATGTAAGGTTGAATTTGAGCCAGTCTTTTTTTTTTTGGGCAAAAATTGTCAAACCACTATGCCCAATTAAGTTGATCAAGTTTTTTTTTCTTGTTTTATTATTCAAAAAACTTGAAAATTTCATATTGGAGAAATTAATAATAGGAGAAAAATGAAATTCAACAAACTTATTGGTAAAGCATGGCTTCTGTCATCTTTGTTTATCAACTTTATTGTTTTTGTGTATTTTTTTTTTTCTATTGTCTGATATCATATAGTCGTGGCTTTATAATTAAATATGATATAAGAACATGCTCACTTTACTTGAAAAACACATTAAAGAGATATATATTACCAATTAGGGTTGGACATAGTTTGGGTCAAATTGAAATCCATACTAAAATTTCTCTTTTTATTAATTTTAATTTCTTGAACTCATAAATTCCAAAAAAAATTAAAAATTAAAATTTTCATATTCAATCTGAATTGTTGGAACACCTTTCTCTAATAACAATAATTCAAATGTCGAATTCGTTCTGAGTATTGCAATTTATTTTTGCTCAAAGAGTAAGATGTATAAAGTATTAATCACAATCACATGTAGATTAATATTCTAAGTATGTAAATTGCTGTCACTATTTCACATTACACTATGTCATCCAAATAAAATCTTAAGCTTTACTTGAAAGATCCCATAAAATCGGGTTAATTATGAAAATTGGGACAATTTGTTTGACTCTAACATAATTTAAATTAGTTTGGAAGAAGATTCAAAAAACTATTTCTTCAGATAACGTGGCCCTAGGTACATTGTCTGATTTAATAACGTACACCAAATCAAACATAACATAAGAAATAGTTTTAACATAACTAATACGAACAATTATTAATACATCATATTCAATATTATTCTTATACACCTTATCAAAATAGAAATGAATTCATCGTATAACATATAAGTCTAAGTGAATTAAATACTGATATCTTTCTATAAACACATAAATATAAACATTACACGTCTATTAATTTATTATACAAACAAAAACGTTACACGTCTATACATTTATAATACAAACAATCGATGCGTATATATTTCTATCGAGTTGCACACATAATATACCTTAGGATCCATTCTTAAGTAAGTAATGGCCCATAAAGATTCATCGATGTATGGGCAACTTTCACATATAACAAACAAAAAATTCATATTTGTATGCTATAGCAAACTTTGCATAATTGCGCTCCATAGCAAACATAAAAACTGGATAATTCGCTATACATATACAAGTGTATAATTCGCTGGCCTATTTCGCTGCATTTGTATAATTAGCTTTACATACAGTTGAATCGAATTAAAATGTATGTATATTGAATAATTATAAGTGTATAGCAAGAAGATATATGTTTTTCTCGCTTTATACAAAAACAGAAACACAATATATACACTTCTGTTGTATAAAGCTAGAAAAAATTGTATTTCACTGCAATTGTATAATTCAAAATTGTATAATTCTTTGGCCTTTTTCTCTGCAATATTTGAAGTAAAATGTTTGTAAATTGTATGATTAAGTGTATAACACAAAGATATACATTTTGCATGTGTATATACAATTTTCTCTCGCTTTATACAAAACGAAAACAGAAATTATACACTTCTGTGTATAAAGCGAGAGAGGCGAAAATGAGAGAGTGGCGAGCGAGACTTTTGGGAGAGAGACGCCTGACAAATTTTTGCCAACATTTGCTATGGAGCACAATTAAATCAAACCCTAGCTATTCCATTTAATTTAGGTTATTAATTTCCTATTATATACAATTTTCCCTTGATGTATCCACCTTTAATTTGCGATAAATTATGGTCCAACTGACTTCTATATCACAACTTGATATTTTTGTTCAATTAAAAGAGACCGCCAATTTCTCGATTTTTTAAATTTATTTATACTTAATTTGACACATTATCCTTTAAATGATAATAAATAGAAAAAACGTCACCTAAACATTAAAAAATATATGATACTTAGTAGCTGAGATAAAATAAATATAAAATATTAAATTATTTTTTTTATTTCTTAAACTAAACGAGTAAAGTTAGACGAATATATTTAATATATTGAATAAATAAGACTGATGAGAGGATTATTATAGTCTCCCATCCTTTTATGTTTTACTATAGGCTGGTGGGCAAATGGGATTTGCCAAGCTGTAATGGATCGAAAGGATAATACTGAGATAATATCAATTTAAATATCAATGGATTCTCTATTATTTCTATCAATTAAAGATATTAACAAGTTCTAAGCCTAACAAAACAAAAAATAAAATAAAAAATTCTCTTTTTATTCATTTATTACTACTACAATAATGGAAGCAGTTTATTTAATTTATCTTTTTGTTTCGTTCACATGGTGTCTGAATCTGAATCTTCCTCAACACATATAACCTATTATTTAAATTGTTGTTAAGAGGCTTGCTTTAGTAGGTGACATTATTAATAAGACTAAACGTAAAATGATTATTGGATATAGTGATGGAATGAATCGAACGTGATAATTAATTCCTCTTTACGTAATAAAATGAAAGATATTTCAAATATTATCATATAAATAACACAGATATGATTGTGAAAATATTGATTGGTATTACTGATATTTTTACATAGTCAATATTTATTAATTATAAAATTTTAGGACTCAAATATTAATTAGTTTTTCATCTTTGTAATTTATAAATAGTATCTTTTCCACACTTATATAACAACAATATCAGTGGCGTAGCCGCATAGCGTCAAGGGTGTGCACATCCTTAACATAATTTAGATATTCTTTAAAAATTATTTAGCTTCGCTACTGAATAATAAATTTACATTCCCATGTTTGAAAGTCATTCAATTAAAGAGAAAAATCAATCCCCGCTGCCACCCCTGTCAAAAGTAGAGTTGCGATTTAAAGTTGTAGATTTAAAATTATCTTTCTTTTTTAAGATTGAAATTATCTTTCTTTTTAAGTCATCATATTTTAAATTAAATAAATATTTAATAATTTTTTTAAAATAATATAATATAAATATATAATTACAATCCTAACTTATAACTCTGCCCCTACTTTTCGTCAAGCTAAGAACTTCAATTATCACATAACCTTTTTTCTTCCTTTTGCTTCTTTTTCTTTCATCCCAATTCTCATCTTTGTTAGATCTGACTTTTGCACAACTTTCTTATATTTATATATATAAAATAAAAATGATAAAAACATAAAGCCCATGTATTACACATGATAGTTGCGTCTTCCTTTTTTTATCTTTTTCACCGTGGTAGGTTTGCCTCTCCCAAGAGTAATTTTGTGTTCAACAAACTTGTCACGCTTTTCCAAGTTGTTTCCTATATTTAATTCCACTTTCAATACATTAAATAATTAATAAATATTGAATTTTCATCTTTGTAATATTTTGATAGTTATCCATCCTATTTTATATCTAGTTGGTAGGATAAAACTTCAGGAAAAATCACTAAAGTATAGGCTTATACCAAAAAAAAAACCTCACTTTTTTTTCAATTACATAAATTCATTTAATTATATTTATATCTTGCTTACACAAATCCAATAGAAACTCATCAGAATTATCAGCTTGGATGCGGTAGTTAGGATTTTAAGGTCGTGGGTGCTTTGTAAAAAATATGTATTAATAATGAGATTCAAACCTTGGTACAACAACACTAAAAGAGTTTTAAGTATCCATCCTAAAATCATTTAACCAACTATATGATTTATTCATTGAGTGCTCTATGTTATTTTTATACAAATATCTATCGATTTCTACACAAATATATATATATTTTATAACAAAGTTAATGAATGCTCGAGAACCCAGCAGACACCACGTGAGTCTGCCCTTACTTGCATGCCAGATAATCTTTAGTGGTCTACTTATTTTGCATTAAAGATAATTAAACTCATTTAACCATTAACCATAATGTCAGAATTTATCTAATTTAAATCTAAATCAAATTACTCTCGACATTAAATAAAAACGATGTTTTATTACTCTATATTTATGAATTTAACCATTAGAAGAGAATAGCAATTACTTAAAGATGAAATGTGCTCAAGTAAAATTTACAAACAATCAAAATCATAATTTATGGATACTTGAAGGACTAAAAATGCTAATTACCTTTCCAACTACAATCCTACTCGATCTTCTCCTCCAAGAAATACGTACATATTCAAATACCTTTATTTTAAAAAATAAATAAAATATTCCACTTTTTAGATACCAATTGTCGAAAATGCCCTTTTCCCTGCCTTTATAGTACAGTTGTTTCTCCACTACTTCCCATCTTCTTTTTCCATACCTCAACTAAAACAATCAAACATGGCGATTCATCTCTCCGCTCTAACAATCTCGATCCTCGTAATGGTCGTGTCCTCCGCCGCCGTAACATCGGCGGCGGCAGAGGACATGTCGATTATAAGCTACAACGAAAAACATCACACGATCGGCGCCGGTCGGACCGATGACGAGGTCATGTCTATGTACGAATCGTGGTTAGTTGAACACAAAAAAGTGTACAACGCTTTGGGAGAAAAAGATAAACGGTTCCAGATCTTTAAGGACAACCTTAAATACATCGATGAACATAACGCTATGCCGGAGAAAAGTTATAAGCTCGGTTTGACTAAGTTTGCTGATCTGACCAACGAGGAGTATAGGTCGGTTTATTTGGGTACGAAGCCGGATGCTAGTCGCAGGTTGTCGAGTAGACAAAGTGATCGGTATGCTCCGAAGGTCGGAGATAGGTTGCCGGAATCTGTTGATTGGGTGAAGAAAGGTGTGCTTGTTGGTGTTAAGGATCAAGGACAATGTGGTATGTGTACCTCTTACTTGTTTTTGTTTCACTTTTTATTACTTTATTTGTTTTCGGAAAAGCATTATGACTTTTGTTGATTATAGTTGATAGTGTTTTTTTATTAATTTATTTATTTATATGAATCTGATATACTTCATGTGCTACTATATAAATTTCAAACAAGAGTAAAGTACAGAATAATGAAATGAGCTTATGAAAATGTAGGATCCATATTACTTTGTTGTTTTGATTCATCCAATTTTTAGATGGGTTGATATGTGATAAAAATTTAACCCAGTTCCAAATTAGTGAATATTGATTTGCTAAGAGAAAACATTAATCCATTTAAATAATCAAATAATACATCTTGAGTTATGCTAGTTCAATTCAAATAACTTTTGGACTGATGCTTTACTAAGTCTATCTATTTTAAATATTTAAGTCAGCTTATATATTTGACACCTGATCCGAATTTTGATCCTTTATTAGTTATCAGGGAAAAGAATTAGAAATATATTTGAAATTTAATCGAAATTGTTTAATATGATATTAAAATTTGGAATGAATATTTTATTTGTACACTATTTAATAATTTTAGGTAAAAAATGTTCATAAAATTTGAAATGTAACAACAATTTGGTCAAAATTGAAATATTTTTACCATTCGAATAGAAAGAGAATAATCTCATAACGAGTATTATACTTTATTTTAGATTTTTATCTGTAAAAATAAATTTCTCTAGAAACTTTAACATATAATTAACTACAAAATGAAAATGATGTTTAAATTTCTTTTCACCGTCATTATTTATGAACAACAACTGGTCAAACGTGATAACTACAAACAGCAAAACGTGCAACATGAATCATATGAATAGAAAAAGCCTATGTTATTATTCATCCGTGACTAATTTGTAATGTAAAAAGTGATGTTCGAATGTGCAATTATCAAGGGGTATTTATAAAAAGCAATTTGTATTTGTTAGAAAATTGTTTTTTTAATTAAAGTTAATGGTTCAATAATTAATATTCTCAACTCTATCATACCTAATAATTCCATTTGTTATTCTTAAATAGTAGTATAAGATTAGTTAGCATTCTCAATTACACTATCGGTTGGGGAGGAGACAAAATCATATGGGGTTGGATATATTTGTTTAACCCAATTGGAAATATTCTAAGTAAATATTTCCGTTTTATCGATGCTACTTTGCTGGCTTTGATTTCCAATATTTTAAATTTAAGACTATCTTTATTTAAATTTTAAAATAAATAAACAAATTCTCTTCGTATCTAAGTCAGTCTATTGGATTTGTCCAAACTCAATTGCTTTATTTTAAACTCTATATTTATATTATAAAAATCAGTAAGTATAGTAGACGTCATTGTCCTAGAATTTAGCTGTGTGTTATATTATGTTGGTAGAAGAAGGATTTTAATTTAGACGTTTGGAAAATGAAACAGGGAGTTGCTGGGCTTTCTCAGCAGTTGCTGCCATTGAAGCAGTAAACAAAATAAAGACTGGAGACTCGATCTCTTTATCCGAGCAGGAGCTAGTAGATTGTGATACTTCTTCTAACAATGGTTGTGACGGTGGTCTCATGGACTATGCTTTTGAATTCGTTATCAAAAATGGAGGACTAGACACTGAGGAAGATTACCCATATACTGGCGAGGATGGAAGATGTGACCTAACAAGGGTTAGTACCGCGTTCTTAGTCTTGAAGGACTTATGGAAATGAAACTAATATACTTTCAAGTTATCACAATTAAAGATCTTGTTTGAAACAATTGCAGAAAAATGCCAAGGTTGTCACCATTGACGGGTATGAAGATGTTCCTGCTAATGATGAAAACGCAATGAAAAAGGCTATTGCAAGTCAGCCTGTTAGCGTTGCTATTGAAGCTGGTGGCAAAGACTTCCAGCACTATAAATCGGTAAATAATCTTTACTTCAGACTGGCCTAGTCGTTAATAAAGATGTCTTTTGATTGAATTAGGTAGTGTTCTTGTTTCAATCAATAATCTAATTACGTACCTAACCAACACGATTTTTTGTATTGAATTTACATCGTATGATCATATTCTCATGCCTCAGAGGTAGATTTAGATGGACATGATCAATTGTTCCGTAATATTTTAGGCACAAAACATTTAAGTGAAAAGCACAAATATTTCCATAATTTCAAAAGAAGGGTTAAGAATGTTATATACATGTTAAATTTAAATCTTGAACTCGTCTATGCTCCAGGGCATCTTTACTGGGAAGTGTGGCGCAGCAGTGGACCATGGTGTGGTTGCAGTGGGATATGGTAGCGAAAATGGCATGGATTATTGGATTGTGAGGAACTCATGGGGTGCTTCCTGGGGAGAACACGGCTACCTCAGGATGCAGCGTAACATTGCTAACCCAAAGGGTTTGTGTGGTATTGCTACAGTTGTTTCTTACCCTGTCAAGACAGGCCAAAATCCCCCGAAACCAGCTCCATCTCCTCCATCGCCAGTCAAGCCACCTACTACTTGTGATGATATGTACAGTTGCCCATCAGGAACAACGTGTTGCTGTGTCTACGAGTACTATCACATGTGCTTTGCTTGGGGTTGCTGCCCTATGGAAGGAGCTACTTGCTGTAAAGACCATAACAGTTGCTGCCCACATGATTATCCTGTCTGCAATGTTAAAGCCGGCACCTGCTCAATCGTAAGTGATCCATCCCTACTTTGTAATTGTATGACGCACACAATATAATCATTTCCTTTATTAACGCGATTGTGTTTTTGTCTCTACAGAGCGAGAATAACCCTCTTTCAGTCAAAGCAATGTCACACATTCTTGCCAAACCTATTGGATCCTTCAGCAATCAGGGAATGAAAAACACTATCTCTTGAAGTGTCTCCAATGGGAATGCGCAAATTCGCAGTGAATTTGCAAAACCTCATTTCCAGCTGAAAGTTTATAGTTATAGGTGATTCCAAAAGCAGAGGATAACAGAGTTGCTGCTGATTTCTGTATAGTGCTTCTTTAGTGCTTGTCACACAATGCACTAGAACAATATTGAAACAAGATTTCATTGTTCTGCTGTTTCTGATTTATGTAAATATTTCCTTTATTTCTTCATCAGGGATGACTATCTGCTACTTTCACAATGCAGTTTATTATTCCATGTGATGCTTCTACTTTCATTTCACTAATAATATCAAAGACTATTGATAAACTCTCTTTGCTATTATATAAGCTATCATAAATTATTTGTCATTTTAGTAATTAAATATATTATTTTTCATTTTACCGGTTGTAGTAACTGTTGTTCTTGGATAAAACAAACGTTTCAATTGTGGGGTGATGACACATAAATAGAGTAAATATTGAATAAAAAAGAGATTATGTATACATAAACATGGATGATCATATTTTCAAAATACTAGGTTCAGATCAACTAAGTTATTTTTCATATCAAAAGTACTGAATTTCAGGTGAACTAGGTGCAAGTATCCTCTTTATTTGGTAAATTTATGGTTCATGCACTAATTCCAATAATTTATCCTCTGAGCATGAAGCCTATATATGTTAATGCATATTCATCAGATTATTCCATCCAAAAAATAAAAGTTCCAATTATAGCCAAACCACATATTTAGCATTTTGCTAGTAATTTTTTTTCTTTAATTATGGATTTTCTAATTCTTGCTTCTTCCACCACAAGAACAATTGAACAAGTACAACTCTAGGTGATACAATATCGAAAATGAAGGTGAAGATGAAAACGATATTATTCAATCTCAGCAAGAAGTTACAATATGCATGTGAAGAGATACTGTTAATGTTGATGTTTGTTTTTCTTCTGTTTTACTTAAGGTGGATCACAAACCATAACTATCAACATCATCTACTAATCACAACTCGAAGCACAAACAAATTGAACAAACAAATATTCATATTAGCAGGACAAAGCAACATGGCAGGGCAAGGAGGTGTACACAATTTTACATGGGATGGTGTAATACCTCGCGAATGTCAACCTAATTCAAACAATATTCTTCGATTAAGTGTAACTACCAAGTGGGAAATTGCACATGAACCTCTTAATTACGCGGTTGATTGTCTTCATAATTGTGGAGTTGGTCCTGGAATGGCATTTGCTAATGCAATTCTTAAACAAGATCCAAATTTTGGAGTTATTGGTTTAGTACCGTGTTCTAAATCAGGTACTGGAATACATACTTGGATTCGTGGAAATATGCCTTATGATCAATTGATAAGTAGAGCTAAGTTTTCTCTTAAACATGGAGGAACAATTAGAGGGTTATTGTGGTTTCATGGTGAAAGTGATACAAAGGACAAGTATACAGCAAGATATTATAAAGCCAAAGTGATGAAGTTCATTCAAGATTTACGCGATGACTTGAAATCTCCTCTGCTTCCTGTTATTGTGGTAAACAATATATACTTCTTTTACTATTCTTCTTCATAACAACTTCTGTCGCTAAACAACAACTAAACCTCAACTAATCATACTTAACGACAAATTTGTGAAGTCTATTCAAAAAATCATGTTAGATACTGGCTATTTTAGCGATCAATTTCATAACTAATTCCTTTTATTTGTGTAGTATAGTTAGGTTTCATTCTATTATTATGCTTGCAAGTTGCAACTTTTCTTGAAAAATTGAGCCTATACATGCTTTTGAACAAATTCTTAGCTTTAGTGATGGTATAAGATCTAATTTGGAAATTTTAGTGTACTAATATTCTCTTTCATATTCACTTTCAAGTGATTTTCGCACACTAACAAAAAAACTGTGAACTACATTGGATTTTCTTGGAATTTAGTATGAAAATTTAAAGAAAACTTATTTTCATGTAATTTTTTAGAAAAATCCTCATGTAATTTATATAAGATGATAATCCTTAGTTACCACGAATTTAATTTAGGTATATTGGCGGTGTTATATGTTATCATATGAAAAGTCTTGATATGAAGAGTTACATATCGTTGTAGGTCAATTTCACCGGATGTGGTAAAAAAAACATATATTGTTAACATACATAACTTAAAACTCAATTGAAACAACTAGAATTCCTTTTCAATTTTCTTAAACCTATATGCAATAACATGTTGAATTTATTTTTTTCAATTGGTTATAATAGGTTGTTTAGTGAATTTTTATTTTTATTTTGTAGAAAAGTAAACTAAACTATTCTATTTTACAGGTTGTTCTACGTTATCCAAAAGAACCATTTGATAGAAAATTTAAATTTGTAAATGTAGTGAGACAAGCACAGATGGATATTGATCTTCCAAATGTAATAAAAGTGGATGCTAATGATCTACCAGTTGAATCAGATGGGCTTCATCTCACAACTCAAGGCCAAATCCAACTTGGTAATAGGATGGCTCAGGCTTTTCTCAACACCAAATTTCAATCTCTTAAATATGATTCAAACAAGATTTATCATATGAATAGCTAGTTGTTTCGGCCTATGTTGCTCGAACCCTCTAAAAATGTTATTAGGTATGTGTCAGATTGTCCAAAATTAAGTAGAGCAATTTTGAGAAGCTACGACATGGGTGTGACAAAATTTTTTGAGAAATTCCTGCAATGTAGATCCCACTCCACTTTTTCTTTGTTAAGATTGTTCCTTTTGATACTACATTATTCCTATCGCCTTTTGGCCTACTTGTATGTATTCGTGATGGTACAAGTTACATAATATACTAATATTTTTTAACCTGAATTAGGAAAGACGAGTTAGAATTTGAAATTTGTGGTTTAATATTCCGACTCTTTTAAATTACCGGATACTAAATGAATAATTTGTATATATAACATATTTGATAAATTTCTTAAGATAAATACATATTCAGACTAAAGCTACCATTACTAAAAAAGCACCAATATCCCTTTGAACTAAGAAATGTCGAATGATTATTTTAATAGATATTTTGATTGAATTAATGAAGAAATAAATAGAAATAGAAGCTTTTTTACATGAAAAATAATGAAGTTTTTCGGTATTTCAGTGAAAATCTGTTTTTCACCATTTGACATTCTAGTGAGCCGGTTTGATAAAAAATGAATTCAAAACGTGTTAACAAAAGCCTCTATAACCTGTAAACTGTACTCTAATTATGCACTCTCTTACGTGAGTAACGTTTTCGTAACATAGGGACCCTTTGAAAGAGCATATATAAAAACAACACGTATTATTAAATCAGTACTCACATTTTCATGGAATTTAATTAGCATCTTGTCCCCAAAATAGTGTAAAGGAAAAAAATATCAAGGCTAGGGACCATCCATACTGTCTTTGTGCTACAACTTTCTTTGCTTTGTCTCCCTATTTCTTTTTTATTGTTTTAATTACTTTCCAAGATTAGCACTCATATATCAAAATTACTTCCTAAATATAGAATCTAATCTTCAACTTTGCTTCCCTAATCTATACTAATTATCCTCCTAGCATTTCCAATTAGTAAAACTGTACTTACTTATCGTTTCATAAGAAACGTGTAAAATGAAAGTGGACAACTAATATAAGACGGAACACACGGAATACTAACACATTTATTTAGCGAATGCATTGGTCCAGAGCTGGTCCTTTTTAATAATTTGGTGTAACTGTATTTTTTTTATTTTAATTAGAAAAGTGGGAAACAACTAACAAGTAGGGCAAAGATCAACATCGAGCTGATCTAACCATTGATGTGATATGTAGTAATTAAATTCTTGAATGGAAGGACAGTAGCTGACAATTCATTTAGGGGAACTCTTTCAAAGGACAATAATTTTCTTCCCTTACCTTACTTAGAACCTTAGACTCGGGGCGGAGCTAGGATTCTAATCGTACGTGTTCAACTCAATCCATTAATAATTTATATATCGTAAATATACCTTACACTACATAAAAAATGATCATTAACGGCAGTAAATTCTTGATTGTCGTTAAATATGTATTTTTAGCGACAATTAACACTCTTTGTATATGTCCCTAAAACCTTTAGCAACATTAGTTCTAATGACACTTAACTGATGCCGATAAAGATTTTCACACTCTTTATTGTTTTTTTATAGTGTTATCCATGACATATAAATTATTAATTCCAGCGTGATCACAAGCGAGGCCTAGAGGGGTGGGGTGTATGTAGACCTGGATTCCAGAGGTTGTTTCCTATGACTGATTTGCATAAAATGCAATGACATAATCTTACAATGATTTATTGATATTAAGTGCTCTGATAAAAATTATTGAGTTCACGTGAATCTATGGATGTCGTGTAGATCCATCTCCACATACAAAAGTAAATCCAAACAATATGTTCACATTTCTTAGAAAGTGTATATCCAATAAATAATATGAACAGAACAAATTGCTAAAGATTACTATGTCATTACCATATAAACATATAACTCAGTACCTTATCAACAAGTTAAAGCTAATTAACAACCACTAAAAGATCCCTATGTAATTAGACTCTTTGCAGTTTGTTACTTACACTAAACTGCAATTAATTTGGATTTGGAGCAGCCCCTCCGTTTCCTAATTGTCTAAAACCAACCTCAACTACCTTATTTTCCAGGCCTAAGTTCTGGTTTAAGGAAAATTGATCATTTTCCTCATCTGTCTCAAACTTCAAATGGCCTAATTCATCGACAACCTTGACATCCTTGCTTGTAGTGTTCCTCGTAACTCTGTCATGTAAAGAACTCATCTCATGTGCTGCATTAGCATAACAAGACGGTGCTGCTATAGGCATCGACCACAAAGGTAGACTAGCCATAGTTTGTGGGCTATTATAGCCAAAGTTGATAGACTTGAACGGAAACTCATGAACTCTTTTCGACCCAATTATCTGGTTTTTGTCATCCATTTGATTATCCGTCTCGTTAACTAGAGTGACATTGTTTGGCTTGTAAGTATATGGATGTTGGATTGGCAAAAATGGTCTCTGAATTGCATAAATACCCGGTATGCTCTGAAGGTAGCTGAATTTCCTCTGAATGTTTAATACTAGATTATGATCTTCAAATGCCTACAAGTAGTCATGAACAAGTTATCAGTGAAAACACATGAATGGCGTAGGATTAAGTAGCGTTAAGAAGGAGGAAATCGCGTCAAGTAGCAATAGATACGAGACGAGAAACACCTTGTTAAATGAGCCAAGCTGAATTATGCCTTCCCTAACAGATATAATAGCAATAGTCTGCCAAAAAAACAGAAACTTTCCTAAATTAAAATCTTTGAAAAATGACATAAAGAGTGATAATATTTTTCTCATCAGCTAAACTTTCATTACCTGAATGCCTGAATTAAACTGAACTCCCCAGGCTCTTGGTTGCTGGCAAAAAAAAAAACGCAAACACAACACTTGTAAGAATTGTAAAAGGAGGGCGAGAGAGAGAGTCGAGCCGGTTCAACTGAACTCAATATTTTTGATAGGGACATAGATATATATAACGCGAAATAAATACTAAATTTTGAGCTGATAATCTAAAAAGTTCAAATCTTGAGTGAGGAGGAAATGAGGACTAGTGGTGCTTACAGCTTCAATAGACATATTCCATGAGCAAGTAAAGTTTGAATCTTTTTCATTTGGGGCATCTTTAGACACCCATCTGTGACTATTATCTGCTGCAACTTTGCCCACCAATCTGAAAATTTTATTACAAAGTTTAATACTTGTACGTAATGTAATTTTAGCTCATTCTACTTATCAAACCAGAAAATGAAATATCTCACCCTTCACCAAAAGAATAAACCTCATGAGACATTTTGAAGAAGATTTCAGGACCAAAATTTATCGTTACATGTTCCCTTTTCGATCTTTCACATTCATAAAAGTCACAAAAACCATCTTCCCAAACAAGAATCCTGAAATAAAATCAACTCAAATTATTAATAAAAATCACAAATACTACTAGTTCAGATGAACCTTAGTAGCTCAGTTGGTTGACTGTCCCGTAACTCCAATTTACAAAAACAAATACTCCTAGTATTAATATCATTACCAGTTTCTCTTGTTCCCTTTAGCGCGATCAAGCAAGCCTCCTCCATGATCCCATCTGCAACAAAAATCAAGAACAATTTACTAACACTATTCTTAGTAATGTCCAAATTTTGATTATTAAAATGTGCTTACTTAGGTGGAGGATAATTTCTTGGGACAATTCTCCAGAAAACAGCATAGACCCACTCAGAAGCATTAGAAGAAGAGTCAGAGCAAGTACAGACACTTCTAAGTGTATGTTGTAACAGACAATTTAGCATGGGGAGTCCACCTTCCATTTTCTCTCTTTTTTTTTTTTTTTGTTCTAGAGAAACAAAAAGGTGCAGAGTGTTCTACTTCAAATCACAAAAGTTGATGAGAGGAAAGAGATGATCTTTATTGCCTTTTAATATGAGTGTGTGAAGGAAACTGATGAATTTAATTGAAACATCTTACTAACAACTGTTTTTCTTGTTTTATTATACACTGAATATTTCATTCGGGTTAATAGTAAAGTTATCTTATGTATAGTCACGAGTTTGAGTTGTGAAATCAATCATTGATGCTTTATAACCAGTGGGGGGCCACCCTTTCGTTTAAAAATAACACTGTGTAGATAAGTATTTTGTTCTATATTAACGTATATACATTATCTGTTGAATCTCCTTAATTTCTTTGTGCATTTTGACCATGGTCGAATACTGCTTGAACATAGAAGGGCTTCTAACTAGGATATGATAGGCTCAATTACACTGTTAATGATGGATGCAAGGACTGTCATTCTGTCACTTTTGTGACAAAACTGACAGCTGAAAATATAAAAGCCAGTTTTAACATTCAAATAAGCTTTTATAATACTATATAATTTTTTATGTTATATAGTAGTTAGTAGGTTTTTAGGGTTATGTACTACTATTGCTTTCGCAATGAATATTAACCAACTTTTTGTTCCGTTATAGACCACAAACCTACCCTCTCCTTCCTTTTTGAGATATCAATAGAGCATTTTATTCATCTTCAAAGTTGAGGGACCCCTCTCAACAATTTCCTTCGATTTGTGTGTACTTCAATTATTATATTGAATATCTACTATCTCACACTAGCTAGCATAGGTATAGCTTTGTCTCACTCTGCTTAGAGAAATGAGTAAGCATATGATCAGACTGCAACCCTCTTTTTAAGATTAATAATATCAGCAAATCATCTGTACAAATTGGCAACCCCCAAAAGATTCCCAAGATTTGTACTTGGGATAGAGTCTGGCAAAATAAATGGTGGTCCTCCACCAATCTTCTAAAGTAATTGGCATTACATTCATAATGAACAAAGCTGAAAGTGACCCATTTCCCCTTTTAAATGCAACCATTCATTTTATACATTGCATCACTGTACAGACTACAAACTACTAGGCTTCCCTTCTACAATAATGTTATGTAGAGATAACGTTATACTCAAATCATACTGGGTTAGATAAATGCATACTTGACTTAAAGACCTAAGTATATATTATAAATGGGATAAAATTTACAAATAGCTACTATTCGACCCTCTAATTGAAAAATAACCATCGTCTTAAAAGAACAACGCATATCATATGGAAGGGAGGTCTAAAGACTTGGAAACTACAAATTGGATTGTAAAAGAGACTATTCAGGATAAAAGATTCCAATGACAACTTCTATTCGTGCCCCTAAAATTAATTCTAATCTATAACATAAACCTCTAAAAATTATATGCTTATACCATCCTTTTCCATCGTATAAAACTGCTGCATCATAGTGATAGATTTCATTTTCATTACACTAATACGGATTAGGACCAGCAGAAAACCAATGGTTAGCAGCAGTTCAAAAGTGATCAAGAAAATGTCTTCTTGTAGCGGTAAATCAAAATGAGAAATGGTATATATGACCTCAACCCTTGAAAAAGTAGTTTTCACTGCTCTGTGGTGCATGGCGATTTATAGGCAAAAATTAATATGCAGCAGTAATTGACAATTATACAAGAACTTCAACAGGGATGTGCAACCTGTTAGAAACTACTAAGGTTGAATTGAATAAGAGCGCGGTTCAAGAATGAGCTCAATATTGACATCCAGAGGCTAGCTTACAGATAAACGAAAGAATCAAGATGTGTGGCAGCTTCTAGGAGAACTAAGTTTTATAATCTAAGAACTCATTGATAATCATATATTCAATGACATAACCCAAGCTCAGAAACCTATCCGGTGAAAAATACAGCCATCTAGGCGAATTTGTATCAAAAACAAATTCATTCCCCACCATAAAAAGCTCATTCCACTTTGAACCTCAAGGTTTGGAAACACTTCTCTCATCAGTTGATGGTGCTTTCTTCCCGTAACGCTGTAGAAAAGAAGTATTTCCAATCATTTTCAGAATATTATGGTAAAGTACAGAGGTAATGCAGTCTGGCTAATGTGAAAAGACACCAACGTAATTGGAGCTAGATTTTATATGTACCTGCTTGCCAAATGTGAAGGGCACATATTTATATTTGACCATGTGCATTATTTGCCTCTTCATCGTTGAAACAAACAGTACCAACCAATAGAATAACAAAATTGGCCAAAATACAGGCACATCAAAGGCACTGAAGAATGTCAACACAAAAGCAATGCAGACTGCTTTTGATAGTGAGTACCTGCCAAGGAAAAGAAAATTATGCCAAACTACTAATTCAAGAAGATAATATTGCCAACAAATCTGGATGATGCCTACGACTAACGGAAGTACAGGCAAATAAATGAAGCGCACAATGAAAAAGTTCTGCTATATGATTAAGTGATCGACTTCAATGGGAATCCTCGGAGCGCAACGCACCCAAGGGTGTGGGCTAGTGGTTAATGAAGCAGGTGCAAACCTTGGAGATTAGAGTTCAAATACCATCCACCTTAGCTTTGGTAGGCAAGATTACCTAGTACATGTGCAAGTGGAAAGCAACACTGCATCAGGTACATAGTGGAATACTTGAGGTATGCTCAAGCTGGCCTGGACACCAAGCATCAGTTTAAAATAATAAAGCACGCAAAGATATTGCGAAATAACAAAATTCAGATAACTAAGTGTGTGTAAAGGAGGAAGGTCTAGAAGAAGTCTGCTCTGCCCTTGCACTGGCTGAAGCATATCACAGAAGCTCAAGGTCAACAATTCATATTCATCCCGGCTACTAAAACTATTACAACATCGGATCAGGAACCATTACTGGGAGAGACAAAGAACTACTGGGTGGAAACCAAATAGACTTGGTGATCAGCATGACTGGTCAGAAGCTGGTCCCCAAGTTTACTTTTCTTTTTCCAGACAATCTGAACATTTTGAAAACATGGACAGTTTGAATTAGGACATTTCCAACCTGTAGAAACTTGTAATAATTGATTGACACACTGACCATCATGATAGTGCTGGTCAACCAATTAATGTGGCTTATGAGGAACATCAATTATTAGGAAATAATCGAGTTAGGGCTGTAGCTATGAGTACTACAGACGGTCTCACGAAAGGAATAAAAGAGACTGAAGCAGGAGTTACTATAACTGTTCCAGTCAAGGATGGCTACATCATAAAACAAAAGCCAAGGACTGTGGAACTGCTGCACAGAAAAACATCGACAAAACTGCACCATAAAAACCTATATAACCTAATAGCAGGAATGGACCAACATAATCCCATGATCAGGACAACACATTTTGAATACTATCTATAATTATTAGCTGATTAAGATAAGTTGTCCCATGTAACTGAGAGCTTCCAAATAAAATCACCTAAGCTACTCCATATAATCACAGAACTTCCCCATTAAAATCACTCAAGCTAATAAGAAGCATTTATACTAGTTACATGAGTTATATTCAACTCCAGTTAAGAGACATATTGCAAGAAAAGAGAGCTCATTCGATCATTAAATTTAAAAATATCTTGAAAATAAAAATATGGTAGGCAACACGAGGATTTTATTTTAAAAAATAAATGGTACAGAAACAAGTACAGTCGATGAATAAAACAAATGACATTATTTATACAGCCAATTCAGTAAACAGATCTAACCAAGCCGTATGTCATTGCTTCATGCTCGGTGCTATCGACACATGAATTCTTATCAGTAATAATACGTGCGTTTCCTATCCATCTATTTCCTTTTTTTGTAAGTAGGATTTTTCTATCTATCAAAGTTATGTAGGCAGTACAAAACAGCTAATTGTGATACTATTAATTTATTATCCTGTCATATATGAGATCCATAATTCAAATTAGGAAAAGAGTTTTAGGGCAGAATTAGGATGCATCATATTTCCACCCTTTTTTTACAAGGGATGCAACATATTTTCATGCTTTTGAGCTTTGAGAGACTCTTCCAATAATTTGCACTGATTGAATTTAAAGAAATCAGACATCCCAAGCTATCTATCTCAATCTCACGCATAGCATGCTGCACGATGGAGAAACTAATGTTAGAGCATCCTCTTTAGTCATACGATAAAAATCTGGATTGTTGGAGTTAGTAGGTTCAAATGCTGAACGATTCAACCAATATTGCATACTAGTAGAGTGGAAGGTCAAAGGCACCACTGAAAAAAGTCCAGAAATACCAGGTCAAAACAAAAAATAAAATGTAAATTTGATGCCCAAAATGGTTTCAAGCTAATTCCGCCAAGCATTGTATCTTAAGCTTGGCTAAGGGTCATACTACAAAATAGTTTAAGAAAGTAGTTTTCCTTCTATCCACTCCGAATCTTCTATTCTTTATCAGATCCTAGATCATCATGTGAAGACCGGAATAGGTAGCAATTAGCAAACAGATCAGAAGTTTTTTTCAGTGGAGCATAAACTTCCATAACCATGAATATACAACAACATAACTAAACTCATCAACTCAACACTTCTCAGCAGATTCAAAAAATAACTATGCTGTGGAATGTACAAATGCTTATGTGAAATGCGAATTCTTAATTTAGAACATAGTATTCAGAAACCCAAAAATATAAATCTGACTTTTTAAAGCAATCCACATCTTGACAACAACACATCTTAGCATCAGATTTGATTTCCTACCAGAAATTAACCATCAGATTTGATCTCTATTCACAGAAACTATATGAAAATCAAACTGCATAATGAGATCGCAAAGCAGATGCATATCAAACAAATCTAAACTTCACAAGTAAGCAAAAAAAAAAATATGTAAATTGGCACATAAATGAGTTAGATGGATGAAGCACCAGAATTTAAATTCAGGAAGGCGACGAACGAAAGGGCGAAACTCATCGGATCCGCGAGTGGGAAGGGTAGGACCGTCAACTTCTGGATCGACTTGAGGGGAAAGGAAAGCAATAAGGAGCTGGATTATGTAGATTCCTAAAGCATATGTGATGATGTAGAAACCTTGAACCATGAACACGCGAATAGCAAAGATGAAAGCGATCGTAGCGAAGAAGATCCACCGATAAAGGATGTGAGGTGTCGATTTATCCAGAAGGTGTTGATATCGCTGTGATAAGGTGAAGGTCCACTGAGACACGGCGGAGGAAGTAGAAGAAGCACCGTCGCCGGCAACTGCTCCGCCACCGACGTCCATTTTTTTTTTTTTATTTTTACTTTTTTACTTTTTTTTTTTTTTCTTGAAAGGAATTAGGAATTTATGGTATCTGAGAAAGAGTGCGAGAGCAACGAGGGGAAGTTAAACGAGTCCGGATGTGCTTTAAACAGGTCATTTGTTTTTTCTGTTTTATTTTATGCTCTCATTTAATTTTTTATCCCTCGATGTAAATTTTTATTCTTATATTACCATAATACTTCACAAATTTTAATTAAAATCGAGATCAACTTATTTGACAAACAAATTATGCAATTAAATAGCTTTTCAGATAGTGAAATGCTTTATTGGGCTTAACCTGGACTTAAAATTGAGGCCCATAATTCTAGATTAACAGCTGATAACATTGCACACCCTGTCCCATTTTGAGTCATATTTATTGATAATAAACATAATTGTAATGTAATGTGGTTGTTACATTAAGTATTTTTTCCTGAATTTTTCACTTTTGTATTTCTTTTCGTAAACTGCTTTTCTATGCCTTTGCTTGAGCTGACACAAACAACTTTTCTAATTCAAGTTGTGTACACGTTATCCACTCTAGACGTTACTTGTGGGATTATGATTTGTTGTTACATGAAATACAATAACAGTTGAGTAAAATTTCAAGCTTCAAACACGTACATTAGAATATTTTTGACAGTGACTACAATATCCTCCTCTTTGCACGAAGTGACAAACTTTACCCATAGAAGAATGGGGAATTCACTCTGTTGCAATGGAACTGTGATTGCGTATGCAGCAACAACAATCGATGCGGCTAGATGATGAGAAGAACAATTGAAAGATGAAATCTTCCCCTTTTCGTATACCAGATCCATAATATCCATGCAAGCTTCCAAGCTTAATTGCTTTCCAACTCTGGCAACTTCACTGAACTTTAAGAGTAGATCTTCGAAGAATCGGAAGGGAATGCTTTTCATGCCGATCTCAAATTTCAATACCTCCATTAACACTAGCTCAGCTTCCAGAAAATCCTTTGTTGTAAAATGCTGCTCTTTAATGATGTTGTCAGCTAGAGACTTGAAGGATTTGACACTTAGAGAAGGAGAATCGTGTATTTTGCTTGAGATCCATATTGCAACAAGGGCAAATAGCTGCAAATTGCTTTCTCTCAGAGGCTGTAAGAGCCAGCTCTTAGCATCTTTAGTTCCTTCTCCGGTAAGAGATGGGTAGAATCGATCGGCGAAAAGTGACAGTGCCGAGTATTTGACGATCGGAGAAACTTGAAGGTCCTGAGCTGATTGAATGAGGAATTCTACAAGACGAGCTAGCAAACAAAAACAAACCTCCTTCTTCATTCTGCAGTTGTCTGAAATGCCTAAAAGAACCAAAATGTTGAAGAAATTCACCGCAACCAAATTTATCTATTTGTCCTGGTGATGTTGGAACCCAGTGCGAACAAAATCAGCAGAAGAAACAGTCCAGCGGTCTGAAATCATAAAGGAAATGAGTATGATTGTCAAATTTGTTTAACAGGGATTTTTCTAAGGTTGAATCGATCGAAAACTGCTACTAATCAATGGATCGGAAATCCAATTCAAATATGGTGTTCACAGTAACAGAAATACTGTTGTTAATGACACCCATAGTTTACATATGAAGGGTTATAAAACGTTGATTGTTCTAGTATTTTTATCGACTTTCACCACTTCATCGTCTATTTGATCATATAAATGCGGGATTAGAACAAATATTCTTACAGCTCTGCAAGACGAACTGTATTCCTTGGTTCAGACTCTTTGAAGTTCTACGAGCTTCTAACGTTCAAATCTCTATGGGTGCAGTTTAAGGCAAAAACATTGTCAACAGATCCAATACTAATCGAACTGAAGATAATCGATTGACAATATTTCAGTGTAAACGGAACGGAAGAGTTTGATGAACTTTGCAAACATATGAATATTGAAATATCAACTGATGAGTAACCAAACCTTGACTTGAAACATCTTTAAACATAAAGAAAATCATTATCAAGCAAGTGAAAAGCTTACAAACCAATCACCATAACACCACTTACCAGATGAAGTACCAATTACTGAAGTAATTTTGATCACCAGCGCAAGACGAGAAAATTCTCAAAAACAACAATAGTATCGCTACATCAAGCAAGACAGAAAGGAAGCAAAAGAATCCTTCCAATACGAGTGAGTTTTCCAAGTCACAATCATGACAACTCACACTGTCCATTGTTTGGGATTTGGTGGTGAACAAAATCTACACAACCCCATCATTCAGAAAAGAGAAACATATATAACTGTTATGTTTCAGCAACTAAAAGGATAGCCACAACCCTGACTTTGTGTACAAGAATCAGTTCATGCAGCATAACTGAAGTTCTTACAGTGTTAGTCATAAATCAACTAAAGGACAGAGCTGTTTGGTCCACTGGATCCATATAGAATGATGAACTACGATTTGCTTGTTTCACCAACAAAAAATGATAAACAAAATTTGATGATTCATTCTCAAAGAAGCAAATATTACTGCTATAGTCTGTCTATGGTAAAGAACACAAAATTACACCGGACAATTTAAGATAACAATTCAATACCTGCTACTAACCAAAGCATGAAGAAAACAGCAAGATACAGTTCAAAAACACCAGGCATCATCTAACTAAATGAGCAACTTTGTGTTGATAGTTATACCTACTCTCTAAGAACACAATTCTCCAAAAACAATATTCAACTCACCACTGACAATGCAACTTCCCGAAGGTTTTTCACTTGCCTTCATATGATTTTCAAAGAAAATATTCAGTAAAAGTGACACAAAGCATAAGTAAACTGAAGGGCTTAATACAAAACCAACTAAAGGACAGAATCTGGTCATGGCACCAATAAATCAGGCATGCAGTTCAGACTTATAGAGTCGTGCAGAAGAACAAAAAAAAAGTTGTGTTTACGCTATTACAATGAGTGTCACTCATCTTTTTCTTTTTCTGATAAAGTAAGCTGATTTATTCATTTGATTTAGCTAAGTAATTGCAGGCAATGGCCCCAAGGGGAGTATGATTAAATTTTGGCCTTCAAGGAGAACACAAGAGGAATTGGTACGAAAAAGAACTACAACAACCATCCTTGATCTCCATTTCTTATTCAAGACTACGCCCTAGAAAGACAAAGCTTGACATAATTATATTCTGATTACAAGAAGTCACCAAAAGTTTCTTAATTAGAACAGAAACAATTATGTCAACATGGTATCACACAAATACTAATTTGTGGCCCCAAACCCAGAGTTTTAACTTACAACTCTGTTGTTGTCAGTGTTCAGGGAAGTGTGAAGCGGAAAAAAGCGATAAAGGCCCCGCTTCACACTTTAAGCGATGAAGCACTCACATACTCATTCTAGTAGGTGAAGCATAGAAGGCTCGCATCGCTTCGCCGCGCTCGCTTTCCTAAATACTGGTTGTTGTGTCCTATGCGAACTGCAGAGCCTCTAGGAGAGTACATCTACATCTCAACACCAATGAACCAGAAAGTTTGGCGTAAACATCTAGAGGTTGATACCTTGACTTCAACAATATCTTGATATAATAGAGAGTCAATTTATACTCTAGCTCTAAGCATAAACAAATCCATGCTCTAGTTCTCCACATGTTTCCTAAATGTCATACAAGTCAAATAAGCACTTCTTTTTTTTGATAACCAAATCAGATAAGCAAATTGAGAGAATGATATAGAAAGATTCAGACAGTTAGACTTATAGGCATTTAAACATTTATCGTAGCATATCAAGGCCTTGAAACACTTCCTATTTCAGTTAGGGCTACAGCTTTGACTATTCAGGCCAGACTTTTCACCAATGTTCTTCATTTACCAGGTGAATCACACTATTGCTAACTTCTCCCCCCAGATTCACCAACAAGAATGACTCCTGATAAGGGCACGTCCCAAAAATATAAAAATGTACGAAGTTTAATTGTAAAAGCCGTGGAACAAACAAGTTGCAAGATTATTGAACTTTGTGTTTTTTCTTTTAGAAAGGTATCATAAATTTCTATAAGAGAAGTTTAGTGAAGTTGATCTCAAAGCAAGCGGAAAGGTACTTGAGAGAATGGAGGGCAGGGGCCCCTAATCGAACTAAAGGAAGAAATGTGGATTCCCCTAATTAGCTGGAAACGTTTTCTTTGAACTCAAACAATTTGACTTCATGCTTCCCGTAATTAATAACATGGGAGTGAATCAAAATCTGGACTTTTTTCTGTTTGAGTAAGGTAACGGTTAGAATCAAAATTTTGACTTCCTATTAGCTTAAAATGTGCATATCCTAGTGTATAAGAGTAAGCAATAGTATGATTTATGCACACTTCTAGTTTCTTCTGTTCTCCATTCAAATGCCTAATGAGTCAAGAAGAATGTGTTCACAATATTGAATCTTTCGCACATAGTAAATATATACAGAAGAGCTTAGCAAAACATAAACTGATAAAACACGTAGTCCAAAATCACCAACTTCTTGGATTATAACCTTTTCCTTCCTTTCTTTTTCAGAAGATAGAATGTTGAGTCCTCTCCCAGGAGAAATGAAGAACTCCACGTTGAAGGAGCATACCAAGCCCAAAAATAGCATCAACATAAGCAAAAACAAAAAGAAGGAAAACTCACGAACAAGGTCCAACCATGAAGGCTGAATCTGTTGTTGCATTAACTAGCATGCAAATTCAAGAATATATAAATGTAATAAAAGTCAAATAACTTCAATAGCAGAATATTTGAGCATAAGATTGATCTCAGTCAACTCCTTTTTTCTAATTATTTCTGGAACTGGAACTCGAACTCCCACCAAAGCTCGACCACCTTCTGAATGTGCAAGCCACCAGATTCCTTCCTGTTGCAAGTCCTAGCCTGGCCTTAAAGGAATTTGACCTCCCAGTACTGCTTGATGCAATACTTACACCTCTTACTTGGCCAGCCACCTGCCTAATTTCATTGCCAACTTCAGGCAAACCACCATCACTGGCACTTGCATCAGGATTTTCAGGTTCAGGTGTATCCAAGTTCACAGCAACGGAGCCCCTAGTTGTCCGCAACCAATCTGCACTTCCAGAAGTCACCAATCTACATTTCTTAACCTTTACTTTTACCAAATTTGGGCATCCACTAGCAAGCGCTTCCATACCCTGATCGGATACTGGGCAACTCTTTATACAAAGTTTTCTTAATGCAATACATTTCGCAGCTATGCACGACAGTTCTGGATCCCCAACAGTTTCACTTCCACACAGAGCTAATCTCTCTAAATTCAAGCAATTTGTAGCCAACTTCTCCAAACTAGCACATGTTGGATTCACACCTATTAAAACCAATTCTTGTAAATTGGGGCAATGTTTTGCCACAGCAATTAACCCATCATCACTTATCCTGTTAGTCTTCCACCCATCAATGTGAAGCTTTCTTAGAAGCTTACAGTTTTCAGCAACAGCCTTTAGACCATTATTAGTGCATTCAGGCGTTTTCACAAGGTGCAGAATTTCAAGAATGGAACATTTAGATATAGCAGCAAGACCGGTATCACTGACCTGAAGCCTCTCAAGATGAATTTCAACAAGTTCACTGACTTGTTCAGCAATCACTTCCAGAATCTTATCCCAATCTCCAGAACAACGGAACAGCTTCAGCGTCCGCAAACTCTTCGATCCAATAATCAACGGTCCAAAACACTGTCCATTGTAGAGTTCCTTAAGGCAAATAACTCTCAGAGAACCCCCTGCAACACCAGGACCAATTGGCTCAGCTGCAGCCCCATCTGTGATACCACGCAGCCGCTTCACGGACAACTCTTCCAGAGCCGAGCAGTTATTCAACACGGCGTTCATCCCTTTAGCTCCAAAAGCACAAGATCCACAAGATAGTTTCTTCAAACCCTTACAGTTCTTCGCAAAAGATTCCATTCCAGCATCAGTAAGCTCCCGGCACGACCGAAGCTTCAAACGAGTTAGGTTCCGGCACCTTAAAGAGATAAGCACCAACGCCTCATCCCCAATACTCGCAGATCTACGGTCACATTTCAAAGCGAGTTTCGTTACCGAATCAAACCTAGAGAAAATCACAGGAACAACAGCCACAAGTTCCGATTGTGCATTAAGCGAGAGACGGTGACGGCTCTGGCCTTCCACACGGAGCCAACGGCGGCAGACGAGAGAAGAACTTTTCCGGTCACCTGAGCTAAGGAAATGGAAAATGCAAGCTAAACACTCATCAGGAATATTAGAAGAATAATCAAACTCTCCTACATCGAATACATCGATAACATCGTCGGAATCATCAATTTCCTTCATAGAAGAAATCACCGGCGAAGATCTAGACTTTATACGGTTTTGAGCTCCGGCGACGGTGGAAGCTGACTGACCCATCCACCACTAGAATAACAAAGATAGGTCAAGGTCACTATATCCACTTACTATTTCACCAGCCCTTTTGCGTTCGTCTTTTTCGGATGAAGTTGCAATTTACAGGTGAGTTTGATAGCGGACCTGAAAATAAAATTAGTTCGGATTTAATTCTAATTTACTGGAAGTTTGTTAGGGATAGCAAATGTTAACATTTTAAAATTACTCCTCTCCGAAAATACATATAGGTCTTTATTAAAAATATATTTTTTGATACACCATCGTAATAATATTTAATATTAATTGTTCTCTCTCTAAATTAATACTCAAGATGAATCGATGATTATTCCTTTTAATAGAATTAATCAATTGAACTATTAAAATTTACGAGTATTTATCTTGTGATATGATATTTTTTATTTGAAAGATGAAAAAGTGCGTGCCGTGTGGGCTACCTACATGTAAGTAGGCGTGCCCGTTGGGTTATTTGAAAGAGCGAGAATAGTGGGACATGCGGAAGGAACACGGTAAGAAAAGTAGATTGAAACATGCAAGTATTTCCTCCACCAGTGCAGTAAAGGAAGTCACATGTGTATCGTGTGTCTATGCAATTTGATGCACCTGTTATCTTCACCCTTCTACTTTCAAAATCAACTTTTTCTTATCCTCTATTTTCGTAGGTCAGCTAATTATTTATACGAATGAGTTGAGATCGATTTTTTTTAATGTTTTTTTGAATGATTCTGTTGTACAGAATTTATCTTACCGAGTAATTTTTTTTTTTTATCATACAAAAATGGGTTTGACCCATTCCCACTCTTGTTGCTCTTGCCATTATTTATTGAACAATCCAATCATTCTAAAGTTACAACTATTGATGGAAATTAAACAGTCTTATCTGTTCTTTTTTATGTGTGGCAGAAGAAATTAAAGAATCAATTAATTCTTGCCTAACTGAACTCCTAAATATAACAATAAGGGGCTCCAATGGCGATATGATTCCGCAAAATTGGCAATCTTGTCTGTTGGTGTGTTATAACACACATGCATCAACATTGTATAACATGAGAAATTAGCTTATTATATACCTTTATCCTTTCATTATAGCTGATGTTTTAGCTCTACAAAATCATTTTAGAAATTTCATCATTTTTTCATCGGAAAAGGGTATGAAATATCCTTGATGTATTGAAAATGATATAAAATTACTCTCCGTCCACCTATTTGCTCCAAAATGCTCTTCTCATCTACCATTGGTTTCAAAATTGATCACTTATTTAACTATTTTAAAATTAAACTGTTTAAATATTTTTTAAAATACTTGACACCCAATTAAATTTAGGTTGAACTGCTATTTGGGAGGACATTTTCAATATGATTCTCTTTTAAACTTGAATTCAAAATTTACGATTAAAGGTAAAGAAGTAGTACATCCCAAATTAATGAATGCACTTTTTTTAATATAATTTTATAACTATTTATGATTTGTTTTGAAACCTTTAATGTTATTTTTAAAAAGTTATCTACTAAGAAATAATATCACATAATTGAGACGAAAGAATAATTAAAATGAACTTAGTATGACTTTTAAGTTTATCGATAATTTTTATTTAGACACTTGAATGTATGATAATTTACTTCTATATATATTTTCGCCTCAAAATTTTAAAAGCACTCATTGGCAGTAGCGTTCCTGTTGTTGCATTAGTAATGTAACGGGTTTATTAATTTGGTGGGATTTAATTAGTAATGTGTGGATAGTGAATTGATTTATAAATTATACTAATAAGTTAAATTATAACAAATAGTTGAGTGTCACGTATTTTAAAAAAATATTTAAATAGTTTAAATTTAAAATCGTTAAATAAGTGGTCAATTTTGAACCCAAAGGTGGTTGACAAAGGCATTTTGGAGCCACTAGATAGGTCGGAAGGATATTTTGGAGCCAATAGGTGGATGAAGGATAATTTTATACCATTTTCAATACTTCAAGTGTATTTTAGATCCTTTCCATTTTTTCATTTATTTTATTGTTAAAGAAGTAACTTTTTTTTAATACTAATTAATCATCAAAATATTATATTATATATTTTAAGTTAAAATGAATAGAAAGAATTAAGTGTTATCAAATTTTTTGAAGGGGGTGGTCCCTTAATTAAAGACCATCTTTGACTTAATGTTGATAAGATAAACAATAGAATTGATTGTGGATGCTTTGAATGAGTATGATGGCAAAGTTTTGGCAAATACTTTGAATGTGTGGTACATAAAAGTAATATTATTTGATTTCAAATAAATATGTCGTGCGAATAAATATATATTCATCGAATATTGCAGCAAGTGTAGAAATAATTGATTTTGAGATTATCATTTATGTTGTAGCTAATATGGAACCAACTTCAAACATATGCGATTGGAGATGCAAAAATTCACATATAAAGTTTGGTTTTAGATTCGAGAATTTTTTTTATCTAAAGTTTTACTTGTTAAAATTATAAATTATTAAAATATGTTTATTTGAAATTTGACTTGTCGGATCATACTTTAACAAGTATGTTTGAAGCTCCAACGTACATTTGATGTTGAAAATAATTTTTTTAGAAGTTTGAATTAGCAATCTTTATTCATTCAATAATTTTATATATTTTTAATAACTCCCACTTATATTTACATTCAATTCGACATCAAATGTACTTTCATTTGCAATTATAGTAATTTTAATGCTAAAAATCATTAACCAACTATAAGTACAAAATTTGAAAAAAAGTGAATACGCCTTAAATTACTTTCTGCAACGTGGTATTGCGTTTTCAAAATTCAAATATTTTAATTCTTGAAAAAAGAGACCGCTAATAAATTTTTGAAACTTAAATAATTTGGCAATACTTTTTGTCATCATTTTGACGATATATAATAGTAATAGCAAATGAGAATATTGAAACATTTTTGAATTTTAAAAGTAAAATTCCATCCATTTAAATTTGTTTTGATCTATTTTTCTTCTAAGTCTGTATTATTTTTTAATAATTTTTTTATTTTAGTTTTTCACATGAGACTGTTAAAATAACAAAACTAAAATACATTTTAATTATCAAATATAAAAGTTTTGTTTACTTTATAAAAATTTATATCAAATTAAAATAAATCAAACAAATTAAAATACGAAACGGAAACAATAATGATGATCTGAGCAACATTGTCATTAATTAATTGAGTAATGGAAAAGACATAACAATCAACATTAACGTATATGACCACTAGCCATAATTAACTAGATTGGAGGTCCATTTATAAATTTTCAAGTAGCCATACAAATTGTGTTTCGTGTCTCACAAATAATTTTTTTTTTGATAATTCAGGAAAATAATATAATTCAGGAAAATAATATAACTTATTTATCTCGACAGCTTATTTGGTTTACATTTAAAATAATTTAGGTATATTTTAAATCGTTCAGATGGGAGGTAATAGAATTTATGAAAGGTAGATGTAGGCTAAAAAGAAAAAATTGAATTATTTTTGGTTAAAGATATATGAATTAAATATTGATCGTTTAGTTATTGCGTAGTTTCTACAATGAAGTGTTACTATTTGTTGTCGCATTTCTTTTGTAATTTTTTATCTTCCTGTCTATTTTTTCTTTCAATTTTATGTAAGATATATTATTTTTCTTATGAAGATGGAGTCTACTTCATTTCGCAACTAGCTGGTACTCTTTTCTGACTAGAAGAGTTGCGCCTAAGACTCAGAAGTAAAGAAAAGTGATACCGGCCTTATCTATAGAACTATAGCGTTAGCGTTAAATCATATTTCAACGATTATTTTTATATCAATAATAGCACGAAAAGAAGATCTGGCTCTAAGTGGTTTAAGAATAATAGTGGCATTGAGTTTTTTTTAAGTCATGTCAGTATTTAATAGAAATGACAATTTTTAGGTTTGATCTATCTATATAAATGCTTTTCATAGTCAAGAAAAATGTCTGAAATTAGACTTAAAGCTAGTACAATTCTTTTTGAATGAATCATTCTTTTTGCTTCTCGTTCTTTTGAAACTTCATTTGTAAATTTATTATTATTACGTTTTAATCATATATTTTTATAAATCTGTCAAAAATTAATGTGTTTTTAACAAAAAATCACATGTCAAATTTGAGAAAAATCGTGAAAAAAATATTTAAAAACTACGAAACTAAATTAAAGATTTAATAAAATACTATTTTTCGCTAGTTGAATCTCAATCCAAGAGCACAACGTGATTTGTTCATTATATTACAAGTCGATAGTCATTCTTTTAAGTCCAATCACAATATAGACCATCTCAATTGGAAAAATAAAACTAATATAGTGTATCACAAACATTGCATGTGCATGCACCTTCCTGTGCCAATGAAAACACAAAAAACTAATAAGAGTTCAAACTTCAAAATATGGTGTCTAAGTTTGTATGTTGCTGTAATTGTATTGTATAATGTGAGTATCGGACTAAAGTTGTATATAGTATTGTTGAAGTGTTATATAAAATCTTTAGTAGCTGACATTAACTTTTACAAAAGTATATATAGCATGAACATGGTAAATACACATGCAACAAATATACTTTATACATGACTTGGTATAATTTATTGATACAAATTATATTTGTCAATACACATGCAACAAATATACTTTATACATGACTTGTATAATTTATTGATACAAATTATATTTGTCAATACACTTGCAATAAATATACTTTATACATGACTTGTATAATTTATTGATACAAATTATATTTGTCAATACACTTGATATGATTGTATTTGTTGATACAACCTCTCTCCTAAATCTTCTCACCTTGATCCTCCCTATTCCAAGCTTGCATCTCTTCTCCTTCCGGTATGTAATTACTTATAGCTTTGAATATCCAATAGGTTTAAATTTAGTTCTCCTCATTAGTGTGATTGATTAAAATTTTAAAATATAGAAATATCGAGGAGTTCAAAATTTAAATTTGGAGAATTTGAGATAATTTCATAAAAGGCATAAGACGGATCCAATTTTTCAATAATAGCATATGTGTGAATATAAATATCTCTTATACACTATTATATATTTTTATACGCCTATATACATAATGTAACTATTGTATAAATGTAATTCAAAACGAGTTCAAGTCACAATTAAATGAATTCAAATTTTGTAAACAACCTCTTTTCTAACAAGTCTAAACAATAATCACTCACCATATTGATTTGGAGATAGGATTAGAAATTTCTAACA